GTAAATTTAGTAGTGTTTATTATTATTTTTTTTTATAGAAATCATTTAAGTGGGATGATGATTTGAACGAGAGCATAGTTAAGAAAGCATGGGAAAGTCTCGCACGGAAGCGATATTCGACTTCCTTTGTCATCTAAGGAAAAAACCGAAGCCGACATATATCTCACAGGAAATATGGGATGCATGGACTACGAAATGGACGAAACCGGAGGTCGTTGCTCGATATGAGATGGCAGCACGGAATCGTAGGAGCGAGACCGGTGGAGTCGGAGCTGGTCCTTCTAGACATACGGGGGATCAATCAGCCATAGAGAGCACGCCATACGTATGATAAAAAATATATATTATTTTATTTATTTATAATTTTTTGAAAAATAATACCCAAAATAATTAATTAAACATCCGACTATATTTAATACATTTACGTTTATTTATATATGTTTTCATCGTAATGTGTTGGGTCATAAACTTGATCCTCGGGAGGTTTTCTTGAGGACTCATCGGAGAAAGGTTAATGATTAGTTAGTCTTCGTCAATCAACGATCGAGGGTTATCGGAGTAAGTGATAACTTTGAAACATTATTTAATATCTCGTTAGTTAGTAACGTTATTTAACAACCGTATTTGATGTGACATGTTTCATAATTATATAGGAGACCGTACAAAGATTAATTAATGAGGAAGAGGTTGCTAGCCGACAGTCGAGAGGGATCGAAACGATCACACCCGACATTAATGACATATTTCAAAGGGTCGTTGGTGGAGGAGATAGTAGGAGGAAGAGGATGTACGAACTCGGGTCACATGCATCTCATTACTATTCAACTCGTCAATGTAGGCTCATCTTCTCGCTACTTCCGGATTCAATGCAGTCGACGAGGCACGGTTGAAGGAATTACAAGAGCAAACATCTACAAACACGATGCACATCAATAACTTAGAGGGTACCGTGAACGACTTACAAGGCTAAGTGGCATCGTTGTTGGATACCACGATCGAGTTGAGAACCTACGGTCGAGAGCGAGTATACGATGATGTCATAGATGCGACGGATGTTCATGCGGCATTTTGAGCGTGGTGGTAGTTCATCCGTTGTTTCGAGACCGACAACGACTCTACCTAGCCTCCAAACGACTCCATCCGACCTCCAAACGACTCTACCTGACCTCCGACCGATCCTCGGACATTAAGTTATTTTAGATTTTTTGTTTTCTTGTATTAACTACAACTCGATGTACTTTTTTTTGTTATTTAACAATAATTTAATTATTTGACAACGTTTTAATACATTTCGAATAATAAAAATTTACGTTTACGATATTTTTACGAGATTTTTGCTACTTTAAAATTGTTACTTTTACCTCATTTTATTATTGTTGCAAATAAATTTATTTTTTCAATTAGCAACGGTCTAGACCGTCGCTAAAAATAAAACATTACCAACGGTCCGCACCGTTGCCAAATTGACCGTTGACAACAATTTAGCAATGGTCAAGACCGTCGCTAATCCGTCGCTATTTAGCAACGGGCATACCAAAGGTTTACAAGACCGTCGCTAATGTCATAACTCGTTTACATCGACATTTAGCGACGGAATGGCAACGTTTTGGACCGTCGCTAATTTTGCAACGGTCCAAACCGTTGCTAAAAAACACCAACGAGCTTTTTAGCGACGGTTACTTGACCGTCGCTAATTACTCGCTAAAACGTTTTAGCAACGGTTTTTTTTATTTAGTGACGGGTCACGTCCGTCGCTAAATGACATTTATCCGGTAGTGTATATCCTTATATAGCTTATGGATAATTTTAGAAGCAAAAAAAATATAATTTTATCAATTTATATAGAAAAACATGATTGAAGGAGATATGAGTAACCGGGTATTATACAATAACATAATAGACAATTAAAAATCTAAGTGCATATTATATAGACTTTTTCTAAAAAAACAATTTCTGCATTTCAATAAGGGGCATTCTAGAAATAAATTTTGGTCGTGTAATCTACACGTGAGTATTTGTTTTAAAAAAATAGTCAAAATGACTAATTGAATAATTAGACAATATACGCTGACATAATAGACCAAATTAAAAATATAACAAACTGAATATTTTAGCCCAGAAAATAGTTCAAAAAATCACTGTTCGTCATGTGTCAATTCTTAAATAAAAATATGTAATAATTTAAATAAAAAATTTAGTATAATTTTTCAAAAAAACATCTTAATATTTTTTATTCATAAGATTAAATCGAACAAATAAAAAAATAATCAATATAAAAAAATTGTATAAAAATTAACTAATGATTTTTTTTAAAAAAAATCTATACATTTAATTTTTATTTATTTATTTACAAAAAAAGTTAATAATATTAGTATAAAAAGATGTATTTGAATTATTAGATGGTTCTTCTAAAATATTATTTTAATTATTTTATTTGATGTTTGGTTTGATGTGTGTAGATGCATAGTTAATTTTCAATAAAACCAATAATCTCAATATATTTTTTTAAATATCATGATTATACCTAGTGAGCTAGGATATACAAGTATAAATTAAAAAAAATATTTTAAAAAAATTAAATTGTAAGGAGTATATTGAAGTTAATAGAGTGTAATAAAAATAAATAAATAAAAATTTTCAAATGTTTTTGATTATATCAAGAATAACCTAAAAAAACATGTGAATTCTATTATTTAATTAATTATTTATCAAAAAACATATTTAAAAATTCATTCATAGAAAAAAATAAATTATTTTTATTAATGAATAAAATTATATAAAAAGAATAAAAAATTAATTTGATGAGAATTTATATAAAAAAAATAAATAATTAGAAAGACCAATTTTAAGCAATAAAAATACTATAATTCTATATATATGAGTCGAGGCAAATGAATAGTGATTTGACTAATCATTTGCGACGTATCTTTTACGCTTTCTTTAAATATACCACAAAATCGCGGACAGAAAAGGAAAAGACCTTTTCTTCGATCTTGGCACGCGTCTATTTATACTTGTGGGACTATCTTGGGCCCAAATATCGGTCAAAACTTTTTCCCGGTCTTTTTAAGCTGTGCATGCATTTCTAGTCCTTAGACTGGGTCCTTGCATTAGCCCATAATCAACACACAAATAGAAACCCAAAACATTTTGATAATGAAAGGTCATATATAGTAGGACTAAAAAGGTGATTAAGGAGAGGATTAATGAATAATGAATAAATTTGGTTACGACTGTCTGTGTCTAATTTTTTTATTGTTTCAGTTGCTAGGAGTTGGGCTTATAAAATCACTTTCATATGGATTGAGCTATATTAAGTATCCTATGGGCTAAGCAACAGAAAGTGGCCATCACTCCCCCACGGTACTAGACGTGGACCTTCTGTGTCGGTGGTTCCTGTTCTCGTGCGTGTGCGCAAAATATCGCATCGTTGTTGTTCTTTGACTTGCTTTATGACACGAGTTTGTTTTTTAATAATTTTTATTTTTATTTTTAATTAATCGAATCTCAAATCAAATTATTATTTAGGTTTGCTTCTTCTTTTTTCAATTCAAATCATTTTTTTTTTTTTGCAAATTTTTTAAAACTTAAGGTATTGGTTTTTTTTTTAATTTATTTGTATTGTTTTAAAATTTTTGAAAAAACAAATTTGTAAAAAAAATTCGTTTTAGTTTAAACCAAACCAAAAATTTTTAAAAAGAGAACTGAATGGAAAAACTAAATAAACTTTGCTTGCAGATTAAAATTTATATCTTCATTTGTTTTTTGCTATGAATTGAATAGTGCTTACTCCGAATAAAAAGGCATCTTCTGATAGAAATATTTGCATCAAATTCATTTTTTTTTAATTAAGTCAAATTTCATTTATTCACATTTAATTCATAAGAATTTTATTTATCATAACTTAATTTAAGGTTTGAACGCTTTCTTAGCTATTTGCTCAGAAAATCCACATGATCTAGATTTTTATCTAATATGTTTTTCAATGTTTTTTTGTTAATATTTGATTCTTGGGGGTTGGATTCGTAAAACGTGTTGTCGTATGCAAATGATGAGTCTTTAGATCTTAATTTTGACGTTCTCTAACGTTTAAACGAAAGCCACCTCCATTTCAATTATTGACGGCATCGCAGATATTTTAGACACGCACAAAAATAATATATATTTTTTTTCTTTCACGCGTCTCCTTGACTCAGACACGCTTCTACTAACTTCTGTTTTGTCAAGAAGACTTTATTAATTTGGTACGTCAAATGTTCAGCTTTGTTTGGTAGCACAGTTTTCAGGTCCTCCCAATTGTCTTAGAGTTGGTGAGCCAAAATTCAAAATCTCCAGTACATTCCCCAACGAATTTGACAGATATGCTGTGCTTCATAAATATAAATGCCTGGACGATTTGGAATATTTATGAACCTGTTTTATGGGTTTTTTTTTATTATTTTATCTCCCTCAATTAAGAGCACTTTCAAACAAAAAGATAAAAAAAATGCTTGCAAATTTAACTATGAAAGTTTAAAGGAAAATTTAGGTTTATTGATGAAATAGAATGATTACAATCTCATAAAATAAGATTAAGAAGTTAAGATATTAGCCTATAAAACCTATAAGTTATTGTTTATAATCTACTTATTAAAAGTTTCAAATGCGTTGAAACTTGTGAAAATACCATAAAAGCTTTCTTACTATTGCAAGCGAGAATTTACGAATTGGAAAGGGCTGCCTGTACAAATGAAGGTGACAGGATACTGAACCTTGAAAAAGAAAAACCCCAACACATAATTATTGGAAAACACCTAGATTCAACATGATTCACGTACTGTTATATGCTCTGTTTCCACATCACATAGTAATGAGAGTGATTTCTTAGGCAATTGATAAAAATAAAAAATAAAAAAAATTCATGGGTTGAGTGGAAATTTTATAATGGAAGATAAATAAATAAAAAAAATATTATGATACTGATTATATTGAAATTACTAAGCTTAAGGTAGATCCGCTTTTTAAAGAAAAGCTAGCCCTATAACATCCATTTTAATATAGCCAACACGTTCAACCCTTGTTGCTAGAATGTCATAGTGATCTTCAGAATTGGACTTTGCAACCCCATCAAAAGCTGCCCATTTCCCGTAGGAAATAGATAAAACAACAAGATATTTCTCTGTTATTAGTTCCATAACACCCACTAGATCTGTAGAAGGCACCTTAAGAGCATTCCATTGATTAGGGTCCATTTTCTGCAATAATAAAGATGCATTAGGCAATATTAACAAGGCATCAAAAATTAGATAAAGACTGGTATTAAAAGAGAGAACTTTTTTAATTAAAGGTTGCGAAGACATTAATGGAGTTGATTGGAACCACCAGAAGAGACCTCTTGTGTTTTTTTGCCATTTTGGAAAGTGACGTACAAGAGAGGTCTCGTCTTCTTATATTCATCCTTCAATACCAGTTTTTTTTTTTTTTTTTTTAAAAGGAAGGACGTAAAAAGGAAAGAAGAAATAGTAAAATACGAGCATAATCATCAATGCACATTTCTTTCGAAGTCACTCTTTGACTCGCTACAAGAAAATAGGCAATCAACAATAGATTTTAATGACAGATTTAGTTTTGTCACTATTTAACTACCGAATAGCAACCGATTAGTTATAAAATTGAAAATCCATCGAAAAGCGATGGGTCAACGACTATTTTGTGATGAAAATTTAGTGACGGAGTTCATCCCATTGCTAAAGAGCTTGGCAAAAATCCCCGCCAACTTCAATAATGGAATTGCAACGGATTAGTAAGAAAATTTAGGGACGGAATGAAAAATTCATAACCAAATTCATTGTTGGACAAGCGACGGATTATAATCCATCAATAATTAAGTAAATTCCTAAAAAATTTTAACAATTCTCAAAAAATTTTAAAAATTTGAGTGGTCAATTGAGATTCAAATTAGCAATGAAGTAGTGATGAAAACTTGTGTCCGTCGCTAATTGTGCAAATTTCTTAAACTTTTTGAAGAATTCGAGCGGTTGTTTGAAATTCAAATTAGCAAAAGACACTTATTTCAATCGCCGATTAGTGACGAAAATGCGTCCGTTGCTATTTCTAAATCCCTTCAAACCTATTGCTCGTGATCTTCCCTCTATTTTCCCTCTCCCCTCCTCTCCTCCCCTGCTATCGCTACCCCTACTAGCCCAAAAGACTACTCCATGCCACCCCACTCCCTCCTAGCCTACTCAATCGGCTAGGCGCCACTTTCTCTCAAAAAATCACTACAACAGTCTCTCCTCTCTTTTGGTAACTTTTTTCTCTCTCTAGATTTTTATTTTATTTAATTAGTTTAATTTTGTTAATTGTTGGTTTGATTTTATTAATTGTTATTGTTAGGTTAAATTTTAATTATGTAATTGGTTGGAAAATTAGATAAATTGGTTGATTAATTGTTAGGTTAATTTTGATTAATTATTAGGTTAAACTTTTATTAATTATTGTTAGGTTAAATTTTCATTATGTAATTGTTTGAGTAATTTAGATAAATCGGTTGATTAATTATTAGGTTAAAATTTTGTTAATTAATTGTTATTGTTAGGTTAAATTTTAATTATGTAATTGTTTGGGTAATTTAGATAAATTGGTTGATTAATGTTTAGGCTAATTTTAATTAATTGCTAGGTTTAAATTTTGTTAATTAATTATTAATTTTTTATTTTATTTATAATGTTTTAATTTTTTAATTAATCGATATTTAAGATTTAATTAACATTTGAATTAGGATTAACGTAGTTAATTAAGATTAATTTGATTTGATTTAAATTTATGATTAATTTAATTATGGCTACTTGAATTGATTGATTGATTTTTAATATTAATTATAGCCCAATTGGTTAATTAATTGAAATTTAAAATTTAATTGAGTTTGAATTAGGGTTAATTTTATTAGGTTTAGTTGAATTTATTATTAAATTAATTAGGTAATTTTTGATTCATTTTTTTAATTTTATTTATAATATTGTAATTTGTTTATTAATATTTAAAAATTAATTAACATTTGAATTAGAATTAACTTAATTAGTTAGGATCAATTTAATTTGGTTAATTTGAATTTATGATTAATTTAATTATGTTTATTTGAATTGATTGATTGATTTTTAATAATAATTATAGTCTAATTGGTTAATTGATTGATATTTAAAATTTAATTGGGCTTGAATTAGGATTAATTTAAATATGGCTAATTTTATTAGGTTTAGTTGAATTTTTTATTAAATTAATTAGGTAAATTTTGAATCATTTCTTAAATTTTATTTATAATATTGTAATTTGTTAATTAATCAATATTAAAAATTTAATTAACATTTGAATTAGGATTAATTTAATTTGATTAATTTGAATTTATAGTTCAAACTAATTATGGTCATTTGAATTGATTGATTGATTTTTAATATTAATTATATCCTAGTTGGTTAGTTAATTGATATTTAAAATTTAATTGGGTTTGAATTAGGGTTAATTTAAATATGGTTAGTTTTATTAGGTTTAGTTGAATTTATTATTAAATTAATTAGGTAAATTTTGATCCTTTGGTTTAATTTTATTTATAATATTGTAATTATTAATTAATTAATGTTTGAATTAGGATTAATATAGTTAGTTAGAATTAATTTAATTTGGTTAATTTGAATTTATAGTTAAATTTAATTATGGTTATTTGAATTGATTGATTAATTTTTAATATTAATTATAGTCCAATTGGTTGGTTAATTGATATTTAAAATTTATTTAGATTTAATTAGAGTTAATTTAGATATGGTTAATTTTATTACGTTTAGTTGAATTTATTATTAAAGTAATTAGGTATATTTTGATCCCTTTTTTAATTTTATTTATAATACTGTAATTTGTTAATTAATTGATATTTAAAATTTAATTAAAGTTTGAATTATGATTAATATAGTTAGTTAACTAGGATTAATTTAATTTTGTTAATTTGAACTTATGGTTAAATTTAGTAGGTTAATTTTGATTAAGGATTTAATTATTGATGTTATTAATATTTTAATGTATTTAATTAATTGTTATGGATAACTTAATTAGGTTTGAATTAAGATTAATTTTATTAGTTAGGCTCGATGTGAATTATGATTAACATCTTAAGATGATTAATTTAACTAATCCTTTAAATTTTTTGGACGACGATTCACGAAATTAGAATTACATAATAAAAAATTGTAACAAATAAATAATTTAATATGGTGCTAAACAAATAATTTTATCAATTAAATTACTTACTATTTACCATCTAAAACCTTTCACTTATACTAATAAAATCGAGATATCCAAGATTGACAACGTCAAGAAAATAAATTCAATATTTAAAAATCGAAAGCAAGAGAAATAAGAAGTAATCATTCTTTAAACGATCATTTTAATATAAAAAAAATTCCTAAAACAAAAATCCTAACAAGTACCTTTAGACAATCAATAAGTTTAATTATTTTTTTTTTAAGAATTCATAGAAATGTTGATCAAGAATTGTTTGCATGTGTTGTGTAATTTTTGCGAGTGTTAAAAAAATGAGATCCGATCGACAATAGATGAATGCTAGTGCTAGTTAACGGATTGTTAAATGATGAATTTTTCAAAGAGGTGGAACAATTTATTGCTTTTGATGTTGAGCATACCGAATGTATGGACGGAACCAAAATTAGGTGTCCTTATAATTAGAGTAAGTGTCGGAACATAAATTTTAAAGAGGTTGAAACAAGTAAAATACCATTTATGCCCTAATGGTTTTATTTCGGGATATTATGATTGGATATATCATAGATAATTTGAGTCCTATATGACATCTATTGATTCTAGGAGTCATTATATTTTTAAAAATTATCATGTAAACGAAGGTAGTTATAGTGAACCCTAAAACTCATATCAAACAACAATAATGGATATAGCTAGTCCATTATTCGATTCGTCTAATACGAAGAAGGTGCCAAGTCCTAATACTCGGTACTTTTATGATATGTTAAATGCATCTCATAGGGAGATTTGATCCGGTTGTGATGAGCACTCACACTTATCCATAGTTACTCGGAATGTTACGCCTAAAAGTTGAATATCATTTTTCCGAAAAGTGTTTCAACCGAGTTATGTGAGTTGATGTTAGTCGATAATCGTATCACAAACAACTTTTATGAAATAAAAAAGCTGATTGGGGAGATGGGTTTTACTAGTGGAAAAGATTCATTGTTGTCAAAAAAGCTACATGATCTATTGGAAAAAAGACAAGAAATTAGACAAATATAAGTTCTATAAACATTCTCGATATTGAAGTCCTCATCAAGGATCAGCAAGAGGAAAACCCGTTCCAATTAAAAAATATGCTACTTTTCCCTAACTTTACGGAGTCACGGCTACAGACAATTGTATGCATCGACTACCATAGCCGAGCACATGAAGTGACACGTTAAACATGAGATATATGATGCTCGGAGTAATATGTCATCCCTTTGACTCTATTGCATGGTGAAGTTTTAATCGGATTGATGTTTCTTTTATAGTTGAAAGAAGGAACATCAAATTAGGAGTTTGCGCTAATGGATTTCAACTATTTGGTCAATCTAATATGTAATATTCTTTATGATCGATAATTGTGATTCTTTATAATTTGCCCCTTGAATGTGTATGAAAAAGAAATATATGTTTCTAACATTAATTGTTCTGGGGATAATAAATTCAAAACATAAATTGGACGTTTACTTGTAACCATTAATTTTTGAGCTAATTCATTTATGAAAAGTGAGTTGTGATAACGTACGATGTTTATTATATGTATAATTTTTTATTAGGACCTATAGTTATATGGACTATCAATGACTTTTCTCGCATATTGATTGTTGTCTTGTTAGAGTACTATAAGAAAACAAGCCTCTCCTTACTATATGAAAAATTTAGTGTTTTCTCCTTTTGTAATGAAAGAAAGACCTCGTGGTTTGACAATCATAGAAAGTTTCTTCCTCATGATCATCTATATAGAAAAAACAAGAAAACATTCATTATAAAAAAAAGGTTATGAGATCTAGCCCTCTTTCAATCGATCCGGGGTGGAGATGTTACATCCGATTGAATAATAGGGATTGTTTAAGATGACGGAAGATGGTGTAGATGATCATAACGAGTCAAATCTCTTAAATTTGTGAATGAAAGAAATGGATTATTTTCTAGGATTTGCCTTACTAGAATACAAATCTCATCCGGCATAATTTAGATGCCATGCATATTGAGAAAAACATGTTTGATAATGTTTTTAACATAATCATGAATGTATTGAGTAAGACTAAAGATAATGTCAACTTTAGGAAAAACTTTAAACTTTTCTATAAAAGGCAAGAATTAGTAAGGGATGA